GTGTTTTTGCATTATTCTTAAATCTTGCAGTCTGGCAGTGCCCCCAGTCAATAAAACTTTAAAGGAAAAAGGAGTAATTTGATACTTCTCCTGGCTTATTTTATGTGATTTTCCTTTTCTAAGGATATCTCACAAAACAAATTAGAGACACCGATCTATCACCTTTCTGTGTGTCGATGTTCTGCCTGCTAATGTCCTCTTAGCTCTAGCTGTAAATGTTACAGTGAGCCGTGGCAAACCTGGGGAGTGGGTAGGTCCTGGGCCCCATGTGTGTTACTACTGGGTGTTTAGCATCGTCTTGTTTTACTGGAATAGGGATTGTTTGCTCGTTTTCTGTCTTTGCTTTAGTGCTCTGTTTTTTACCATGTTGTTTTATAAACGGCCTGTAAAATGCATAAAGTGGTAGAGGGTTCTAAAAACACCGTATCAGTAAGCTGAGCAGCGGGTGAGCAGGCGGTGAGCCGGCGGTATTTCCTTTCGTTGTAGTGCTGGAAGAGAGGGCCAGCCCAGCCTGCCCTCAGTACAGAGCGGGAAACAGAGGTTATGGACAGCTAGTAAATGCAGCATGCATTGAGAAGTCTTGAGGGTATTCCAAACTCAAGCAGGAAATGTTGGGAGTGAAAAAAGCTTTCCAAGAATGGCAGCAACACAGACTTGAAGACTATTTTAAAGGTAGATGAAGGAATTTGTGCTTCAGTTTGATTTGCTGGTGAAACGACTATGTATACCTGGTGTACACAACTTGCCCCTGTTCTCCTAAAACAATGATTTTTTAACTCATTAGCTGAAATCATTGGCTCTAAATTCTGAATTGTTGTAATTCAGTTTGAACCTGGATTATATAGGCTTGTTAGTTTAGGCAGGAATCAGTTAACCTAAGTTACTCTGCTAAATTTAATTTATTAAAGCACCTAGATAGGGTTTTGAAGTAGCTTTTAGCTAAATGAATTTAAAGTCTGATTTACTGTGAAGTGATACAATTTCTGTGTGTAGATAACAGGCTGAGACCTGAACCTTTTTGACAGCAGTTTAAGTGAAGAGGGTGTCACAACACATGGGATTTCACATGAGGAGAGAAGGAATGTGAAGAACAGTTATTGAGCTATGGGAGAGTAATTTTAGTACAGGAAAAAGCAATCTGACCTTTTTTTTTGCACAGGCTCTGACTTTTGACTTAAGGACAGGACACGATTCAGGATTCCTGGTCTGTCAAACCTTTTTTCCTAACTGGGCATCTGGGCTTGGGGATTATATTTTCTATCTGCCTCTGAACACAAAAATGCAAGTTTCTTCTCTGTGTCCCCATATGCTATGATATCCTCTGTGGTTTATCTGCTGAGCTGTCCTCCCAGATGCTTCAAAGGCTTCAGATTCAGAGGTTCTATCACTGCTCCGCTTCCCTGATTTTTTTCTTGTGCTCCCTCATGTAGAAAGCTTTGCTGCTTCCAGCTGTTCTAAACAAAAGATTAAAGACCTACCTGCCCATTTGGGCAGAAGGCGCTGAAGCACCTTTTTACCTATATAACCTTCCACAAGCAGAAAAGAACTGCCTAGGCTACGTGGAAGAAGTTGGTGTAGTGGAAGGGTGATTAGTCTCTATTAAACTTCAGTAAGATTGAGTTGCTTGTGCAGAACCTATTTAGACTGAGCGCTATTACATTTTAGTTGACATTTACTTATACGGGAGGCTTTGGGGTTTTCCTATGCCAAATGTGAAACACAGTCTGGTAGCAAGATATGACTGGGAGTGGATATTCCCAGCTTCAGCTTGGGTGTCAGGCTTGTAACAGAGGAACACCTCCCTGCTACAGCCAGAGAAGAATGAGCCCTTGGACTGCAGATCAAGCAATATGTGTGAACCACTGCTCTCTCCACTGAGAGCTGTAATAAGTTACTGCAGGGACTCTTCCCACCTACAATGGAAAGAAGCAAAGATCTGAATGTTGAAGATGTTTGAAAGAAATAGAAGAGCTTAGGGACCTCTTGACGTCGTCTAGCCCAGTTTTCTCCTCAGAGCAGGGCTAACTTCAAATTTAGACTGGGTTGTTCAGATTCTGCCAAATCTGGTCTTTGTTGTAGTCTTGTGTTTGGAAAAGGAAGTAAGTTTCAGATTTATTTAAAAGGGAACTCCTCTTCTGCAGAGAATTCAGGGCTTCCAAACAGCTGTTGGATGAAATCTTATTACAAGGATTGTTGTATTGAAGATTCAAGTGTTTCTACTTTCAGGCGGAGAGACTGTTGGTTCCAGCAACATGGAGGACGATGTCAGCTTGAAGTTCCGTCAGCAGCTTCTGCTCATTGACGAAAATCTGGTGGCTGAAGATGTAGCAGCTTTAAAATTTCTCTGTACTGACTTGCTCCCCTTCAAAAAACTAGAAAGTGTGAAGTCAGCAGTGGACATCTTTCAGCTTCTCATGGCTGAAGACTATCTGAATGAGGAAGATACTTTCCTACTAGCTGAACTCTTATACAGAATTAAATGTCACTCCTTGCTCAGGAAACTTGGTTATACCAAGGAGAAAGTGCAAGAACGTCTGCATGAGAAGGGAAGAGTGTCTCCGTACAGGTAAGCTTGCAGTGGGTTTCTGTTCTCTCTATTACTGCCATCTGTGCCGTACTGTTTCCCTTTCCATTTTTAAATTCTCGGATTGCTTTTAGTTTCTACACCATCTTCTGTTCTGCTTTTATCTCACTGGATCTCTGTTACAGGCAGATGCTGTATGAATTGTCAGAGAACATTACCAATGAGATGTTGAAGGATATCATATTCCTCCTGCAAAACTGTCTTCCAAAGCGACGGATGACTCTTGTATGTGAGGAGAGAGCCAAATGTATATGTGGCAGGAAGGGAAGAAGGAGGGCGGGAAATAGGAGGAAAAGCGTGAAGAGAAAAGTATTTGGCAGAATAGGGCATGATCTGCAACTAGGCTGGTCAGTATTTATAGGGTTAGCAAGGAGGAAGCTGTTGACAGGTAAGTGTAGAATTTGCTGCTTTCTGCCAAGGTCAACCACTGACAGTCCACAGTCTTGGATTAGATCATAAAAGGGTGACAGATCAAATCTTCGCCCTGCTTGAGCCGTGTGCAAAGGAGATTCATGTCCATATGCCATTGCTACCATTTCACAGCAGTAAAGCCTTCTCGAAGCCAACAGTCATTAATATGGTTTGGGTGAATCTGTTTAAACAAGACCATACCAAATAATAATGCAACCAGTAGCTTTCCAGGGAGCAACATTTCCACCTGCCACAGTGATGTAAAATTGACTGTTTGGACCTTGTTGGTGGGAAGCAAAGCAGATAATAATGTGATTGATTGAGGCAGACAGGGCTGAGGCAGGTTTTGAGTTCTACGGAACAATAACTATATTTTACTCTCTCCTTTTGGCTGTCAGTCTGCTCTGGAATTGCTGATTTTATTGGAAAAACAGGGCCTTTTAAGTCAAAACAATGTACAGATGCTGGAAGAAGTCTGTATGAAAGTTTCACCTGATCTCCTGGAAACAATAAACTGCTACACAAGGGCAAAAGGTGAGAAATTCGGAGTCAGGGAGTAGGTTTGCTAAAATGCAGGAAGCACTAGAAGGGTCTGGGCAACTGAACCTCGAGGTCCTATGTGTGCATTGCTGGAACAGGAGCTAGAGTGGGATCGCTCATCTTCACACACAAATTTGGCATAACAGTCCCTAGCTTGCATTACTTCCTAGCTGAATTCCAGTAGGGACGTGCTGGCATATCTGAGGCCATACAGAGCAGTCCAGCACATACAGAACAGGCTGGGAAACTGAAAATCTGTTTATAGTTATGTTGCACTTCTCCATTTCCCTATGAATAGTATTGAGATGATGATGACTGTCCTGTAAAAGGCACTTTGTGATATATGAATGTAGTACACTACAGCCAGACAGTTGCCTGCTAATAAGCTGGCGAGGCAAACTGTGTGTGCATGTGTGTCTGATACATGGTAGGCTTTATTATTAGATGTGTGATTCACGTTATCGGGTTATACTGCAGTTTGTAATATTCCTTCCTTTAACGTCCTGTGGAGTGACTATAAGCATACTGGGGAAAAAGTTCTGTTTCCCTTTATTTAAGCACTGGGAAACAAATTCTGGGAAGTACAAAGCTACATCTCCCCAGTAGATGCAAGGGCACTCAGCGTTTCGTGAGTTCCATTCCCCCATGCTTTCTGAGTGTCCTTCGAAGTTGCTTTCTATTTTAATATATCTTTCAGTAAGTATAGATCCGCATTTGCCTAATGTGTAGATTCATACTGGTTTAACTAAAAGGCACTTGGCTTCTCTCATTTTGTCTCTTTCTGCTCTTAGTGTCTCTGCCTCAGCAAGAGAACACTCTGCCAGTCAAGGAGTCTTCACTGTCTCACACTGGAGACATCAGAGTATTCACTTCCCCACAGGTACACTGGATACATACTGCCAACTTGGGTTTTAGTGGTTTGGGGGGGTTGTTTTTTTTTCTTGCCTTTATTTTGAAACTGTACTGGCTGTAAGATTTTTTTGCTGAATCTTCTTACTTGGTTTAGGAAGGGAACAAGCATATTTGTTCAGCATGTAAGAAATATAGCTGCATATAGTATCAAATAGTGGAAGTCAAAAATACTACTATTGGTCATGTGCAATTGGGGAAAAATTAATGTTAGGAAGAGAGATGAGTGAGAGAAAAAGCTAGACAGGTGCCTTCTAGAGAATGGGTCAGTCAGTTGGTGCTGATTTTTAAAGTTTCAGCTGATCAACACCAAACTATCTCTAAAGGCTAACATCGTACTTTGACGATTGGTTCAAACTGCTGCTGCTAAAGGAAGTGGTCCCATTTTCTCAATAAACCAGTCCTTGATCAGTTAATCCCCTCCTGCAGCTGCATGATGAATCAGATTGGGAAACTTCTCAGGGCTATAACTGATCTCTTTTTTGGGGAAGAGGAGAAGAAGGGAGGGAGTTTGAATGAGGAAAACCAGTGATCTTTCTAAGGATACTTCCCAGAAGTGAAGTTCTAGTAGACAAGAGCTGAGGAAAATGAACTATTTAGTATCAGAAGGGTTTGCATTACTGCTGCTTTGAGCTATATTTGCTCTTCATGTGCAGAGGGTTTGGGGAAACCTTCATGTATGGCACAGTAAGAAAATAAATGTAGTTTTATTAAGAAAATATAGATTTAAAAGAATTTTTAAAAAAAGACTGAGACTGTTTCCATAATCCTGATGATCATGTTTGATTTTTTTTTTTAAATTATGAGAGGTTATACACTTTTTCCATGCTGTATAATAAACCATTGACACTTACTGCCAGAAGATGTCTCTTAGGCAGGACTAGAATGACTAGTGATAACGATTTATACTCAAATAATTGACTACCCAAGAGAATTGATATGGGACTATGTTGGGACCTTTATTTTGTTTATAGTGACTGCCTACGCCTATAGTGAGAGGATAATTTGGAGGGGAAAGAAAATTCTTTGCTGTTTCCCTTTATCCTTAAAAGAAAATATAGTTGTTTCCAGCTCTGTGAGATTTGCTTTAAGTGCAGAAGTCTTTTGTAATTTCATCATTAAATGCTTTGCTGCTCTTACAAATTCAGTATTTTTCCTACTCACTACTTAGAGCTTTGTATTAAGCCTATTTTGCTAAAATCACTATGAAAACTTAATGTATATAATAATGATTTTTAACATGGTATTCCCCCCACTCAAAAAACAGGAGACCTCAATCAAATCTGTCAGTTCTTGTATCAATGGTAAGAATTTCTGAAAATACGTTTGGTTTTTACTACCTTTATGTTTAATGTTGCATTCCTTTACTTTCTCTGGGAAATTTCTAGCATTTGGTTTAATGCAACACACTTACCTTGCTGTCTTCTTGTAAGGGTCTTTTGCTTTCTGCACAAATAGATTTGAAGGATTTCTGTTCTTATATAAGAGGCAAGAGAAAACTGGAAAATCCTGCGTACTTTGTCAGTTGTTTACTAGAAACTAACTAATGTGCTTTCTGGGAAGTGAAATAAGGGCTGGTCTAATTAGAAGCAAAAAGATGATTTCTTTCCTGAAAATGAAAAACAAGTTTTCTGTTTAAATATACCTGGGAGGACAAGAGAATGGGACACTATGACTGTTTATAAAACTGATATATTAATTTTTTGGGTGCAGGATTTTACCTCTGACTTCTTTTGCTGTAGTATAGATTGTAATGTTGAAGAGCCTGGGAGTGTTGCATGGTAGAGATGGATGTTTTGAATGCATTAAATAGTGTATGATTTATACAAAAGGAGACAAGCATTTTTGGGCATTCAGAAGGAGAAGTAAATAAAGCAGCAATAAATGAAGTTACATTTTGGATCAGATCTCTGAAAAGATTCTGTACAAATAACAGTGGGTAGTTTGCATTCATCTTTGTGACTCCACATCAAAGTGACCAGTTGCAAAGTATAGCAGTACAACATCTGTCAGCTCTTTTCCACTTTCAAGCGCTGTCAATGCAGCCTTGCTCTGAAAGTTGGTCTGAGTGTTATTATCGGTGATCAGGAACAACAACAAAAAAATCGGTAATGGGAGCTTCAGTAGTAAGTTTGCAGATCCTTCTTACAATACAATTTATATCTAAGCTGATTTCCAAATGAAAAATTCATTTGAATGTCTCAGGTAGAATCTGTCCTTGTAGCATGGATATTTTTGTTCCACAATACCAATACAAATAGAAACCTTGCCTTTGTCACAAAAATATATATAATAAAAATAACTGGAGACATGTTAAGAATAGATCCTTTGAACATGACGATGCTGCCTCATATGGAGAAATTATTCCTTTCAATGAAACCATATTTCAAATACAAAAAGTGCTGTATTGTAGCTAAACTTCTTTTTGCTACATCCATCAATATTGGATTTCTCTTCATAAATATCCATGTTTGTTTTTTTTTTCTTAGATAACAAAGCAGCTAATCTTACACAAGGCTTCTCTGAAATGAACCTGGAGCTGCCTGGAGAATTCAGCAATGTAGAAAATGAGTCTAAGGTTTGAGACAATCTCTTAAATCCTTCTTGTTGAATACCTGCGTGTGTGAGGTCTTCATCCCTGTAATGACATTTATCATGCAAGGATTTGTGAGATGTCTGTGTGTCTCATGAAGTTTTTTGAGTTGTCTGATCAACTGGAACGTTTCAGAGAATATTTTAACCTTGGAGGCTGGAAGCTTACCAATATTGAAAGATGTGGTGGAGACAAAACAGGCATAATACCTTTGATGTTACCCACATATCAGTGCATCTGCTTATCTTCCTGCTACAGGCAAAACATTTGGCATTTTCTTAAGTTGTGTGTTTTGGAGATGGCAGCAGAATGTGCAAAACATGGAGACAAACATAGCTTCACAGTTCTCTCTTCCTAGATCTGGCTTAGAAAAAGCTTCAGGGCATGTTGAAATTAAAAGCAATAAGGGGTAGCATGCAAAGACCTTGTGAGAAGGATAAAAGAAGGCAAGAGTTTTTAGTAAGCTATTGCAGGCATGTAATGATCTTCCTCAATAAACCAGAGGTCTTGGTACAGGAGAACAGATCCCTTTTGTGAGATCCCTTCTTAGAAGCCTTATGTGCACTCTTTAACCTTGTACAGCAGTGTAACCACAGAATTCTCCCTCTAGCTTTTTCCTTCTGATGAGCATGGATATTGAGGGAGCAAGTTGCTGCATTTGTTCATAGCTATTTAATTTCTTGAAGTTCTGTGCTATAACATACCTTTTCATCACTTTTCATTAAAACATTCTTTCTTAAGAGTGGGAGGTAACTTTTAAGTCTTAGCAAAACTGGTAGTGTGGCAGGTTTATGCACTTCTGAGATGTCTGTTCTGCTTGCATCCCTTTCCAGTGGATCAGTATGAACCACTTGCTCCAGGTATTCATCACTACTCTCGAAAAAAACCAACTCGGATGTCTAACATCCTATAGTTTCACTGTGAACCCTCTGCCATCTGAAGTTAAAATATTGTCATGATATTGGAAACAGATGGGGACTTCTATCCCCATCACCAATTCAGATTGCAGAGTTTGGCTGCTGAATCCTTCCTTTTGCATACAGATGACCAACCCAGCTGCTAAACCTTTCCTCTGCAGTTTGATAGTATGGTGACAGAGTGTGCTTGAGGCTTCACCCATGTCTTTTCACACAAGGAGGCACTATTGAGTTTCAGCTTTTCAAAAGTAACCCACAGTCTTAGGTGCCTGTAATTTTTGGATGCCAATTTTGAGACATGTTAAGGAAATATGAGTGAGCTGAATAAATTCATTGAGGCTGTAAGCTTTTTTCTTCTCCTATCTACAGAAGATGACAAGCTACAAAATGGATGGACCACGCAGAGGATTTTGTCTTGTTATTAATAATGTTAACTTCGATAGGTCTCTTCAGAAGAGGAAGGGTTCTTGCAAAGATGCTGGTAAGTTACTGAAGTGAGATTTTTGGAGGGTTAGTCTCTCTATTTCCCCATCTGAGTTGATTGTCTAGTATTGCTCTATGTTTTATTGTCTGTATTTTAATTAGTTAATATTCTTAAAGAGTAAAATGTTTGTTACGTGTTAAATTATGTCATTTGTGTATCCTAGGGGAGGAAGGGTTAAAGGATAAGTAACCACTGAGTTTCTGATGTAGTTGGATCATTCTGAATCATTTTAAGAATCTCTTTTTACTTAGCCTTCATCTATAGCTATAATAACTAAAACTAAACTAAACCATCATTCTACATAATATAATGCAAAATTCTATAATCAGCTCTGTGCATACTTCTTATTTTATTCTGTTTGTTCTATTTATCTCTTGTGTATGAAACTCATAGTCAAAACTGCAACTGGAAAATAATGATGTGACGAAGGTTTTGAAAGATCTAATCTGAAACTCAGGGGGGATTCCTCATATTTTCAGGTGTCATTTGTGAGCTCACTTAGTGTGTCATTATACATTGTAAAATGTGTGACATTATACATTGTAAAATGTCATTGTATTTTCTGAAACTTGTCTAGAAAAATCCAGGTACTCTGTGTTTGAGCTGATGCCATCTTTTTTTATTCCAGTTAACGTTAGTTGGTACTAGTATAAGGATGAATTTGCAGAAATGTCAGGGTGTAAGGTCTTTGTTTGTTCAGATTAGCTTGCATTGTGACTTCATAAAATGGTTCTCTTCTGCCTCAATTTTTCCTTTTATTTTTCTTACAATTACAGGGGAACTGAAGCGAGTATTCACATGGCTTGGTCTGGATGTGAGGACTTACACAGATCTGACGTCTCAGGAGATTAAAGATCTCATGCGAACTTGGCAGCATTTGCAATATCACAAAGACAGCGACTGTTTTATATGTTGTATTCTATCTCATGGAGAGTCAGGGGCAATCTATGGGAAAGATGAGGAACTTGTATCAATCCGCATGATCATGTCCCACTTCACTGCCAAACAATGTCCACAGCTGGCTGAAAAACCCAAACTCTTCTTTATCCAAGCATGCCAGGGTAAAGAGATACAGTGTCCTGTCTATGTTGAAGCTGATGCACAAATTCCTGACTTGTCTTCCATGCAACAGAGCATTTCTCCTTCTGAAAGTATTCCCGAAGAGGCTGATTTCCTCCTAGGCATGGCCACAATTGATGGATATGTCTCCTTCCGGCACGTTCAACAGGGTACTTGGTATATTCAGGCCCTGTGCAGCAAGCTACAGTTGTTGGTACCAAGGTAAATACTTTGCTTAGTTCTTCCATGAAAAAATGGGAGGAACTTCCCCTTTTTTTTCTCCAAAGGCGAATTCATATAGGAACACTAACCCATGTTCCGAGATGGACAAAATTAGTTAAACTGATGGATTTGTTTGCTTGCCACTGATAAATTTACATTGACACTGCTAGTACCATAGAGATAATCTGGAGAATGTAAAGTTTATTGTAAAAAAAAATCAAAACCGCCCATCTTATTTAAGGCAGAGCCATCTGTTTCTGGAGTGGATTTAGGTAAAAATATTTTATTCCATTATTTTTCTTTACTGGTTGAATCAAGCAAGACAGAGTAAGAAAGGGTCTTTTGGTTTTAATATGACTCAAATGAGAAGAAAAGAGGAGAAATTTGGAGAAAAGGATGTGTTCTGTTTTTTGTGTTTAAAATGTTTCTACTGTATCTTCTATGTGATCTGGGAGGTGTTAAATGGAGTGCCATCTGCTCATTAATAAGTAATTTTTTTTTTTTTTTCCCCTCTCCTTCTGGCTGTAGGGGTGAAGATATTTTGTCGATTCTTACAGAAGTTAATGAAGATGTGGGCAGACGTGTTGACCGCTTGGGGACAAAGAAGCAGATGCCCCAACCAGCATATACCTTAAGAAGAAAATTTATATTCCCAATACCTAGAGACCCTCCTCCTTCGCAGCAACATTGAGGCTTTTAAAATACATCCTTTTATCAGCGCATCTCATTTAAATGCAGTTCACCACACTGCCTGTTATAAGGCAGTTACCCAGAAGCCTGAGGAACTGTTAGCTTCAAGGCAAGGCCTCAAAGATTTTTTGCCAAACAAACCGTGAAACTGGAGGAGACACGATTAAAACAATCCATGTGCCAGCTATTTACATCACCTCTATATTCAGAGTTATCGGGGTTGGGAGAAGCATGCTTCTATCATGTTAAATGTTTTTGTACGTGCACAAGCTATAGATAACCAAAGTGCTTTTCTGACAGCATAAGGGTTGCATGTAGCCTTCCATATCTAAACCAGGATTGTTAATGGTCTGGTTTAGGCTCAACATGTTTTATTTTGCAGGCTGACAATTCTAAATCCTGCCTCTAAATCCACTAGCTATGTTCATAGAGAAAGACAAAGGTGGGAATGAAGTGGAGAAAGCTTAAGTAGTAAGTGGAAGAGGATTTCTTCCATCCCTAATTTAAATTATGTTTAACTTAACGGAGAACCAGTTAACTATTGAAATCAGTAATTTGTTCCACAATGCACACTGATACCATCTAATGGCTAACATAAACCTCATGTACAACGAGATCTTTCCAAAACTGAGTAAAGCCAAAAACACTGTGTAGTATTCCCTCTGTGAAATCCTGTGAACTGTCATTTCCTCATCACTTCTGGGAAGAAAAGTTAGGGTAGAAGATTTGCACACTATGAAATACTGCATTCAGCAGTGTATCTGTATAGGTGTTTCAGATTGATTAACTTTAAGCGTTAAATTTTCTGATTATCATTTCTTGTTTTAAGATCTAAAATGCAGCCATATGAGAAACAAGGCTGCTTTTTGATTAAGCTTCTAACAGAGCATTTTGTGAGTTAACTGGAATGTCATGTTGTTTCGTTACGAGCATTTACTGTGTATGTCTGTGTCCTTCCTGTTTGTTACTGCATTAAATTCTTACTTCTTTTTAAGAGCTTGGTGAGATAAAAATTATGTACTGGGGTAAGACTTATCCTTGTTTCTGACTGGCCCCTGCACTTTGTTGGGCTGCATGAATCAGTGGGGTTTTAACTGCCTCAGGGTTTCAGCTGAAGTGAAACTCAGATTATTTCAGCAAAACACTGGTTGTTATATATGATTACTAGCCATAAGTTAGGGTGAAGATTTGAAAGAGTACTGTCTAGTGCTGTTGGATGCAATTTTTAGCCTGCACTATCCAGGATTTTTAGGAAGGGAGTTTTGCATCGTACAGAGCATTGAAATGCAGTCAGTTTGCCAAAACATAATGGTCACTTTTTATCATGATGAATTGATAGTTGTGTGACCCATCGCATTTTGAATCTTCTGAGTTAGTACGGCTGCCACACTTGAAGTCACATTTGTGCCACAGATAGAAAATGTTTTGTCTGTTAGTAGAATTTATAACATATTGTAATAGCATCATGTTTCTGGCTTGCAATTACTGTTCAGACTTGGTACACTCTTGTTTTGTATGTTTCGGTAACAATTGAATTTTTATCAGTACGGAGTAAACAATTTTGACCTTGTTTTGTGGGATCTTGTTTTCATTTTTAAGTTTGGTAGACAGAGAACATCATCATGTTACCTTGCTTTCTCTGTAGAGACTTCTGCCTCGGTCATCTCCAATTAAATCATAGGTAGGTAAAGGCAGTCAGAAGAGTCTAAGCTGACTTCTGCCTTGAGTTCCCTGGGGGGAGGGATCCACGCTTGGGAAGTATAAAAGACTGGTAAAGTCTCCCTCACTCGTAATAAAGCTTGTTCAAACACAGTTTACACTAGCACGATTTATACTATTCAGTGTGAATATTTTGCTTGTGTGTGTTGAGGGTTGTGTTTGTATGGCTGCACACTGTAACACTTGGGTGCATGCAGTGGTACTCTTGTCAGCACAAGCCCAAAGGCAGGGTAGGCTTAGCACTATAACCGCAGCTGCCATTCAGCAAGGTGGTTGGATGTTTCTGCGTGATTTCCTGCGGTATATTGTAAGAGAGTTTGAAAGTCTTGGGGGAGAGTGGGTGGTTTTTATACAACTTGGATATTCATCGCTCACTTCTTGCTGTCTACACTGTACACCTTCAGTGTAACTCTAGTAATACAGAGCTGTGCCAGAAAGAAATCAGCCTCAAACAAACAAAATAAATGTGGTTGGTTTCTGTTGAGGCTTACTGATGGCATACAGAAGCATATGCACAGTGCATGCTCTCCACCTTAAAGAAGGGTTGTGACTTGTGCAACCCTTGTTTAAACAGATTTAAGTGGAACTAGTGTAAAAAGAGTCTTTCTGTTGGGGAAGTTGGTATCTTGGGAAGATCATGATCTTAAAGTGGGATTTGTAACACCCACAAGTCTCTGTTATCCCGTCCCTCCTGACTGTCAGGTATTGTGCAGGATCTGTGTATCCTGCCTTGTGCCAGTAGAGGCCACAGTCACTACAGTTGCTGAGTAGTCAGTAGCCACAGCATTTTCGCTTCCTCAAGACAAGCCTTTCTGGGAGAGATTAATTTTTGGCAGGCTGCTGTACAAGGAATAGGTTGGGTCACTGAGACAGTTCTAGAGAAAGCCAGAGGGACAAAACCGGGATGCAGGGGAGCTAGGGAAATTGGAGAGACTGTAAGTTAACAAAAAGACAGGAACATTTTTGGGAAGGGCGAGAGAGAGAGAAAGAAAGAAGAAGTGAAACAGTGAAGTCAAAGAGGAAGAACAGTGCCAGGAGGGTTGGTCCTTGAAACTGCTGCATGATGGGAGAAGCCTCTATCTGGAAAGAGCCAACCTGGGCTTGCTCTCGTCCGCAAATATTTTTCACACAGTGCTGATCACGGCATGCTTCCTCTTTCAAACTGCAACTGGAGTCTATTCAGTTAAGACACAGGGGAACTGATGCAGGGAGAGAGACGCTGAGGCATGGGATGGCACGGAGACAGAACCGTTTTGGACCTGAAGATCGGATAGTGCTTGTGGTGTCCCTCTGTGCTGCTCCCAGCCTTTGGATAAAAGGGCAACTTGTGCCAGTGATGTAAGTCAGGCGTTTTCTGAACTGTTACTAGTGTGTGCCTTTTGGAAGGAATTTGTATGCCTCATTCTATCGAAGGGTATGTTGCCATTTTGAGTTTATAAGGGTAGATAGGTTGAAATTGATGAATGATTGTTTTAATTGCAAAATTTTTAGCAAATTTCGGCTCTCCTAACTGTCTTTCTTCATAATGCTGACTTCACAAGCTTCAGAGAGTCTGGCAGCTGTACTGATTGCTGATCATATATTTCCTGCTGCAAAGAAGATACTGGTGACCAGCAGACCATACTGGGAACCTTACCGTTGAAGGCAGAGTTCTATACTTCAAAGAAGGTGAAAATGCCAAAAGTTAATTATTGCTTAAATTCTCTTGTAAATGGGGAAATACATTACATAAATAATTTGAAAGGAATGTTTTGCCTTTCAGTTCCCTGTATTCACTGAATACTGCTACTTAATTCGGTGCTGATAGTTGACTTAAGTTAGGAAAAAATCTTCCATCAAAGTGCATGTTAAAAATAGGCTCGAGTGAGTTGGAAAGGGACTTCAGAGAAAGGAGGTAAGTCGTGGAGAATCTGGTGACACAGCAGGGCAGTGGGACTGAGGTATTTTTAAATGGGAAGGTATAATTGATTCACCCTTCCTTCACTGTCTTTTAATTAGGATTTATGTGTGGGAGCAAATATACTGAGCTGTGCTGTATACTAGAAAGTCCTGGCTATGCTGCTTGGTGAGTCGCCTTAAAAGCAAAACCTGGTTACTTTTGTGGCTTGTTTACCAATTTTTCTCACAAGCACTGTAATAATTTTCTGAAACTGGAACCATGATAGGTGGAGTAGGGATTTGCTGCATTATGACCACAGCTTATTACTTCGTTATAATACACTTTTTGTAAGTCATGTGACAATGTAGACCATAGTACAAAAGGCAGTACTTTTCCTGGAACTTCCTGGAACTTCAGAGACCACGGCTGTCTCACTTTTTTTCAGAGTTGTTCCAGCAGTCCTCCAGCCTGTCCTCCCATGTAAGTGATGTTAAAAAAAAAATAATACTTAATTATTAATTAATTAACTTAATTATTATTCCATTTGCTTGTTGTATCAGTTGTGTCTTTAATTTAGTAAAGTGGGAGAAAAAGACAGAAGCAGTTAAACATTGTTTTAGTGCGCTCCCTGTATTTACAGACAGGCTTAAATATAGTGTGTAGGTGGCACATCTGTTCTAATTGCAATAATTTTGTGGGTTTTAAATTTACAGCCTTTGAGAAATAAAAATGAAAATTTCCTTTACCAGAAGGATTTACTTTTATAAGCACATGCCTTGTATCTTAAACAAAAGGCATGATTTATGTGAGAACGAAGATAACTTCGTAACTAGCTACCAAGAAATTATTCTTCTCTTTCCTATGTGGATATAAAAATATACAGTCAGATCTGAGATCATTGAATCGTGAGGTTGAGCATGTGTGATTCATTCAGATACTAGTGGTTTTGTGGTGACACGGGCTGAATGGTATGGATTCTAGTCTGTTTAAAAGTTCAGTTTGAATGGATTTAAAGAAAACAGTATTTGGGGGCAGAGCATGAATCGTGTGTGTACATATATGCGCTGCATCACAATGCATGTTTTGCTGTTTTATCAGGTTTTTTGATAGACAAAGGTTTAAGATTCAGTTGTATGTTCACTCTTGCTAACTAACAGAATGCTGACCAAGGGTGTGCCACAAAAAGCTGCTTTGCTGTAGAGTGGTCCTTGGAGGAGAGGGGAATACAATTGTCTGCTAATTATTTTTTTTTTTAATATTTACAGTAGTACTGATTCAGTTAGTCAGCTGGGCTACCTTGGAGTTATTAGCCCTGGTATTGAAACATTTGCAGTAGCAGTAACATTAAAATGGATTGCCTAATATTCCGGTAGTGTACGAGTAGGAAGTTTTTGTTTGCTGTTGTCAACTTTTCTGTCTCCCAGTGAGTTCAATGGGACAAAAGCCTCTACTGAATGCATTTCTATAGAGTTTCTCTTCAGAGGTTTCTAGGTGTCTTAGACCTAAGGCAGAGAGAATAAAGTGGCAAATGATTCTCTTACCAGAGAGGCAGTGGAGGCAGGTCTTTTAAGTGTCAGGGTGAGATAGTTGGAAGGCTTGCACTTGGTATTTTCTAACTTTCTCTTATGCTGAAAAGTTGGATCCATAAGCGAAGTTTAATAATTCTAAAGCTGATGGAGGAAGTGGTGGAGAAGGGAGGTGGTATTTGACGCTCAGTGAAACAGAACTAGTTTGACAAGAATTCTCCTGGTCTTTTTAAAAGGGTTGACATGACCTGTATTTGATTTGAATATTACAAATTGATTGAGAGCTGGGAACTGAGTTTTACTTGATGCAGATAATCCAAAACAGGAAGAGGTGCTTTGGCTATGCTGACCAGGGTCAGAAGCAGTGTATAAAGAAAGGAGAAGCCAGATAGCTTAGAAGAGTTATACTCATGTGGACTCTTTTCTTTGTTACGATGTAAAACCTTTATCTTTGTTATGGTGTAAAACCTGGCAGTCTTATTTACTACATAGTCTGTATTTCAGACTGGCAAGTGGCTCTTGCTCCCAAATGGGATCAAACCTCAAAAACCATACCAAAACAAAACCAAAACAGCAGCAGCCTGCCAGGATTGTACATCCCGTACATCAGTACTTCCCGCTGTCTCGACACACCAAAGGAAGCAAGAATGATCCGTGACTTTCTCTGTCAATTTCACTTAGTACAGAGTTTTTTATATTGTTAAGTCGAGAGAACCAAAAGAGCTAAGCATCAAAGCTATGATAGCAAGACAGCCTCTCTCTACTGAAGTACTTCTCATTGCATGTATTTATTCTGGGCTATTCTACATTATGTGATACCTTTTATAATCATGTTGTTGCACTACTGTTACTGACAAATGAAATCAACTTCTCTTTGTGTTTAGATCCAAGTCCTGATGTGAAATGAGTACAGACTTCCACAAACTCCTTTTTGACATTTCTGAGGCTTTGGTCACAGATGAACTGGCAGCTCTGAAGTTCCTCAGCCTGGAGCACGTCCCCATGAGGAAACTGGAAACCATCCAGGAGCCCAAGGCCTTCTTCAAAGTGCTGCAGGAGAAAGATATGATAGAGGTCGGGAATCTGTCCTTCCTGAAGGAGTTGCTCTACCGGATCAATCGGATGGACCTCCTGTCTGCCCAGCTGGGCTCCAGCCGAGAGGAGATGGAGAGAGAGCTTCAGATCCCAGGCCGGGCACAGGTGTCAGCTTACAGGTAAGCACAGAAGTAGTAAACATTTGCATGCGAAATGTACAACAGTTCTGTTGTGTACTGCTTGTTTTCTGTCTGCACTGTTGTCTTATGAATATCCCAGCGTAATTGCATTTATTACAGCATGGCTACCTGCCATTGTGAGTTTTACATTTTGCAGTTCAAATGTGTCATTTTGGGGTTTACTTCTCATAACTTTCTTAATCATTCTTTCTCTATTCTTTATTGCCAGGCAATTGCTATATGGAATTGCAGAGGACTTGACTCCAGAAGATGTCAAGAGTGTGAAGTTCCTGCTCCAAAAACAAATACCAAAGAACAAGCTCCAGGATAATGCTGTATGCAAAGTGATCTTGATAAGTTTCTTGCAAGGCTAGTTCAGAATCTGCTAGTTCTTGTAAGAAGGGAGGAAAGAGAAAGCAGTCTGCTCTCACTAAAATCTGTTGTTGAAAGAATTGTGATGTTAGCTGATAGCTGCTGTGTGAAAGAATGGACTTTTTTTTTCTCATTGTATCTTTTCTCTGCCCTTTTTTGCTCTCCTATTCCTTTCCCTCCACCACCTGTCTCCCTAATCTTTTCTTCTTGCAAAATCCATCACGCCCTTCCTTTCGTCTTTGCTTGGCATTTATGAGACATTTGTACATATGCTGTATCTAGGAAGAGTGATGTTTGCTGGAGGAAAAACAATGTTTTGGAGACAGAAAATCGAGTTCTAATGTGAGTTCAACCACAATTTTTTGTCATTGGGTACATTTTCCTCTTTATTGTAATTTGGGGTAACAGCATTTTGTTAACTCCCTCACAAAAGTATTAAGAGGTTTGATGAGCTAGTTTAATACTTGTATTGTAAATAATGAACAGTGTTACAAAAAGGCTTGGTATTATTAAGAAGCTTCCTTAAAAGTCCTATTTGTATTGTGGCACCTATAGGAAAATTAGCAGATTTACCTCCAACTTGGTGGCCTATTGAGCTTTAAAAAACAAAATTAGCCCTGAACACCTTTACTGTAATAGAAAATGTAAAATGTCACAGCTAAATGACTTAACAGCACTTCATCTGAACACAGAGGCACAACAGGATGCTATGTGGTGCTTTGCACTGCTGAAACAAAGCAGGATAAGCTAGCCATAGGCAATTTCTAATGATCCTATCTTAACCTTAGTGATGTGTTTCTTCAGTTGCATTGCATCCTGACCCATTTTTTAATGAGGTTTGGAGGAAAAAGAAATTGGTCTTTAACTGGTCAGTCTCTGGGAATGAGGATATTGTCTTCTGCTCTGTCCAGAAGTGCCTGATACTGCAGTTATTGAAGGTCATTGTATGAGTTTGGGTTATGTGTTTTTGTTTTACCAGTCAATGTTGACGGTCTTACTGGAAATGGAAAGAAATGGGATAATTAAAGAAGATGACCTGGCAATGCTGAAAGATATATTAAAGGGATTTAGAGCTGACGTAAAGAAAAAAATTGATACCTATGAAGAAAAAAAAAAAGGTAAATTATTTAATCTGCTGTTTAAGAGTAGAGCTGGGTTTTTTGTGATTTTTGTGGCTCCATCGTTGGCAGTTTAGGAGTCCAGAGAAAAGAGGGAGACCTCACAGTATCCTAGGATAGGCAGAGCAGCTCTTAGTACCTGTGGTTTCTGAAGTTTTCTGCTACTTCATTATCCCATCATACCTTCTTGTATCTCTCCTTGAAATATGTTCTGTACTTCGTAAATGGTCTGCTTCTCCCTCCTCTTTGCCTTAAATGCAATTTTTCTCTTCAGGAAACAGTGCAGTGCTGGGTTTTGGACCAGGATAGCTTTTCAATCACTGGAAGAGACTGGAGGTGACAGTTGCCTTGGGGAAACTTGTATTGGGAGATTGTCAGCATTATTTTCTCTTACCCAGGCTGTTTGCTCTTAGTCAAAGGAAAAGTCCCTGGAGACCAGGTACTTGGCTAAAGTGTAACCATTAGCTTTCCATACCAGATGTGAAATTTCAAGGACTTCAGTATGTCTGGGCTGTTGCAGCTGAGGTGGTGACTTGTGACACCACAGCAGGGCCTTACTCTTTGGGAAACAGGATATGTCAACCAACAACAACGGAGTCCTATTAATTTTTTCCCCAGAACCTCCTTTTGGATGACTCGGAATGTGTGTTTCCTTAGACACGTCTATATAGCCCATGCAGTTCCCTGCAGAGATACCAACTAGTTTCCCCAGCATGTCTTTGTGCTGCTGACCTATGCTTGTGTCTCTAAAAGAGCAGAAGAAAATTGCCGAGGGTGGCTAGTGTAAGCAAGCCCTGTGTCAGGGGAATATCTTTTTAGCAGTATTGTTATTATTTTGTCCCCCTTGGTAAGTAGAAAAAGAGCATGTCTTATAGATCTTGTTGCCCTGACAATTAAATTCCAGTTAAACACATCTGTGTAACTTGTAAAAGGAGTACTGTGATTTATTTCCTTGGGTGGAGTCATGGGTTTGATGATTTCTTCACTTACTTCAGGCAGTTGTATTCAAAGAAGTGTTTTGTTGCTTTGAGGAGATCTTCCATTATGCTGGTATTCTGCATCCTTGGTGTGTCCACCCAAACAGTAAAGTTCTCTGGAGAAGTGACAATGGCCTCAGAAATAAATGAACTAGCTGTAGTGTACCACTGTACAAAAACGGGTCTCCTCTTTCACTTATGTATCCCATAGTAGAGATGCTAGTGAATGGCTTGCCTGGGGTGACTACTCACATTCAGCCTTTTATTATCTGGATCTTGCTACCAGTGAAAGAGCAAAGAAGAAATGGAGCACAGCTCTGCACAGCTTCAGTAACGAGCAGTCTGTGAAACTGAAACCCTGCTTGGTCCAGCTCTACAAAATGATGGTGTCTCAGTGATGTGGAAACCACCCTCCACCTCATTCCTTGCACTGTTTTTTTGAGTGTTGAAATACGCACAGTGGAAGATTTATCTTTTTAGTCCTAAAATGTTCTGTTTATCTTCTCCCTCTTAGAAAACGATTCTAAGGAAAAACTCCACTATCCAGTGTCTGCGTCTGTGCATCCAGCAGGACAAGGAGCAGAGGCGGAGACACCACACCTGGTGAGAAATACCTCAAGATTACCTTTAAAGTATTTATCCAGCTCCTGGGAGGGGGGAGCATAATTCTTAAGACTAAGCAGGTGGAAGAGCTCAAAGGGAAGGGGTCTGGCTTTGTATGTAGGCCTTGGAACAATTCCTATTTTCAAAACAAGACCAAGCCTTGTTGCTTTGTGAGGACCTGGCTGTCAGCAACCTTTTAGGCAAGAAATGAAGGAGTAGCTGTTGTGTGAAGAAAACCAATCTTAATGATAATGGAGACTGGGACATTAAAGTCCCAGCCAGGATACTCCTGGACAGATGGGAAGGGAACAACAGAATCTGCTACCTCAGCAGAAACCCACAAGGACTCTCAGAGGGAATGTTAGGGTGCAGGAACTTTTCCCGTGCACATGCAAATTTGTGTTTCTGGATACTCATTTTCTCCCATGCCAAAATCATATCCTAACCACAGAGAGAGAGGAGGAGGGATTCAGGGAGACAAAGCAGATTCCTCTCCCCTGTAGTTAGCTTGTATTCTTAGGCTTTTCCTTTCTTGTATCTTGGCCCTCGTGATTTTTTTGCGCTTGGACATGAAGGACCAACAATCTGTGTATAGCATATTTCTCTTCTGGATGCTTGGCACTGCTTTCTTATCTGCTTTCTTTGTTTCTAAAGCTTGTGGAATCATATAAGATGAAAAATAACCCCCATGGTTACTGTGTGATTCTTAACAACTACATTTTTAAAAATCCACATGAAGCCAGAGAAGGAACAATGGAAGATGGAGGTAAGTACTTTTTTAAATCCAATTACTGGTTGGTTTGTTTCTCTGATAATTTTCTGAAGGAATTATCTAATATTTCCAGCGAAGAAGAATCATGTTGACTGAGCTCCTTTGCCTCCAGAGTAACTGGAATGACAGTCACTGTAGAAATTGGAAATGCCACTTCCAACAGTTTAGTTGATGGCTTAAAGAAGGAACCACTTTCTGTTCTAGGCAAAAAGCATCATCTTAATTGGTCATATGTTCCAAATAGTGAAGGAGGGATTACTATTCCACCTTTTCACTTTTTGATTGTTTTTAATTCTTAGCTATCATGGAGTAATATTTTTAGATCCTTAAATTCTATTTAATGCTCAAACAAATGCTACTGCTTTGTAATTTTCCTTAAAGCCTGTCTTCCTGCAAGAGTCACTTGTTAAGATAAAGAAGAGTTTATGTTAAAAAAGTAAAATCCATTTCATGAAAGCACACATCACTGATATTTTAACTCCATCCAGCCTGTCTACAGGCTGCTTGCTTCCCAGCTACTTTCTCACCACCCACACAACAATTAAGTCAATGTTTGCTGAGAAGTCTGCATAGCATTTGTTAGCAGGTTACCCTGCCTTCCTTCTTGCTGCATTGATCATTCTCACAGAATGAGGGACCTACTTCATTTAAGAGTGACAGAATTTGTCATTCTAAAGAGGTACCTCTTCTTTAACTTGCTAAGTGTTGTTCTTCAGCATCTGAGATTACTATGCAATGTGCAGTTAAAGCTTGCTTTAACACAGTAAGCTTCACTAATTTGTACTGATTAATCAGATAATCTGAAACCTGTTTTTGTTTTAGATAGCGTGATGCTTAACCCAGTTGTGTTTAAAAGAAATAAAATTAGGCATTTGAGTTTTCCTAATTAGATTTGCAGGCTAAGAGTCAGTCAGGTGAGTTTATTGGTGGGATCTGAACACTTCTGCTAGTATCTGTTCTACCACACAGACACTGATGTTTCAGCATCTTCCTTGTCACTGTTTAACAAGTGCGTTCTGACTTTTTTTCCCAGAGGCTGTGAAGAGGGTCTTTAAGTGGCTTCAGTTTGAGACAGTTGAGCACATGGATCTAGAAGCAAAGCAAATGTATGCGAAAGTTAAAGAATACAGCAAAAAAGATCATAGTAACATGGACTGTTTCGTTTGCTTCATTTTTTCCCATGGTGAAAAAGACAAAATAAAAGGCGTTGATCATGAGTTTGTAAATATTAAAGATTTACTCTCCTGCTTCAGTGGATCTAATTGTCCTTCTCTTGTTGGCAAACCCAAGCTGTTTTTCATCCAGGCTTGCCAAGGCTCTCTAGGTCATCCACCTGTCACAGTAGAAGACGACTTTTCTGGCCATCTTGAGACGGATGCTACCCCTTTGACTTCCATTCCTGATCAGGCTGATATTCTGGTTGGCATGGCTACAGTGGAAGACTATGAGTGCTACCGCTGTACAAAGACTGGCAGTGTTTACATTCAATGCCTCTGTGACAAGATGAAGGTGCTTTGCCCACTGTAAGTACTATTTTTAATCCATGTACATTTGGGATATTGCAGACATACATACTTAAGCATGCTGTGCTGAAACATCAGTGTTTTGCATTTGTGCTGTATAATGCTTTTCACCTGCAGAACAGGCAGAACAATAATTTTTCTGGAATTGGGCATTGTCATTCTTCTACAGATGAACCAAAGTACAAGTGACTTCCCCTAGTTTGCCTGTGACAGAACCAGGGTTGTAATGCTGGAACATTACACATAAACAAGTGTGTGTATGTGTGTGCATGTTTTTTAACATTTTTTGACTGATAAATGATTTTTGTTCCAGTGGAACCTGATGAGAGGTGAATTTGTTGAGTGATTACACGGAAAAAAAAATCAGTGTTCTTCAGTCATAATTTTCATTGTTGCCTCCCCCCCGTCCCCATCATGAACTTGATTTAGAAAATAGAATTTCTCTTCAGATATCACTTTCTCATGGTGTCTAGAAGAGGGCTTGGAGAATGCATAGGTTTGGTTCTTTTTCATCTTAGCACACTCTTCTGACTATAACCAAAGTAGGGGACTGTGTTTGCTGGTAAAGCAATGCTACATGGAGGTTGCTTTTATTCCCCCAAACACACTGAATTCTGTGGTTACACAATGGAGTGTGCAATTTCAGTGACAGGCAAGGTGAGGGGAAGATACTAGCCTTCCTTAAGATACCACTTTATTGGAGCAAACATAGATCAGCTTCTTGGCCTAGCTGCAAGTACCATGTATTTCAATGTAACTTTTCTTCATTTTTGTTCAAGCCGCAAGGATCTCATAACCATCCTGACAGAAGTGAACAAGGAAGTGGGAGGAAGAGTATTAAATGGATGGAAGCAGATGCCAAAGATAACATCAACCCTACGGAAGCAATTGATCTTCCAAATTCCTCAATGTCTGTCAACTGAAAAGTAGAAAAATAAGAATACACTCAGTGAAGAATCACATCTGGAATGGGCTTCCACAGGGAAGAGAATTTGCAAGAGAAATTATCTGGATCTGTGTAGTTAGTCCCAGTCCTTAAAGGGGCCATGGGACCTAAATTTTGCAATTCCCATGATTAATCAGTCTCCTGGCACCTGGATCTGTAGCAGTCTGGTAAGGCCATGGAGGAGTACAGATCTGCCTTTCTGTCCTGCAGAAGCAGTGGAGTCTGTTCAGTTTCAAGTGAGGAAGCACTTCCAAGTAGTACGATTTTTAAGAGTTATTGGAAATTCCAATGGAAGTCCCATTTCTGTCTGAGTTGTTATTAAGTCCCTGAAATCTGAAGACAAGAACAGATAGATTCAGAACGCTAGATCCCTTCCCAGGGAGCATGTGTAAGATTGTAACTCATGTACGCAGAGATGAATCATTGTCTGTCTCTGGAAGCTGCGTAATTTTTCATGGAAAATAACATCCCTGTCCAAAGGACCAAAAAAAGATGATTATGATAATACAAGTTTAGTTCTTTTCCTCCAAATATTTGGTTTGCTTTATGTTACTAATTTACTTGGCTAAACAGCACTGCTGTTTAGGTTTTTTAATAGTAAGGGTTCTAATTGTGGTTTTTCTCAGAGCCCTTAGGGAACAGCCTGTTTTGAATGGCTGTCAACCGCTGGAAGGAAGGTCCCGCACCATTAGATCCACTACTCTGAGATGCCTTTTCCTCCTGGCAACTGGCTCTAGCTCCTGTGGACTCTTGTTTCTGTTGTAATAAATACCCTTGGTTTTCAACATCACCTTTGTGTGTTTCTCTTTTGGATGAGCTGACTGAGGGACAGTCAGCATGATGAACACTTCTACTTCAGCAGCAGAAGTTACTTTGCTCTTGTTGAAGTATTTGATGGCAGCCACCCCGAGGGGTAGCATATTGATATCCCTTCATTAGCAGCTGGAGAGATGGTAGGAAAGAACAAGTTTAAGTTCAGGACTTTCATGATAATGGCAGCTGATGCCAGTGAGGCTCTTCTTACCTTGCATCCTCAGCAATGTGTAGGGAGCTGTGTGGGATTCTAACAGCTACATTCCTTTTGAGTTTATAACAAGATAAAGGATGGATTTGAGACACTTTGTAACTTCTGCTTTTTTTAGTGTGTATTTTTGTTTAAATCCATGTCTAGCCATAAAGCAGGGGTTCTTTATTCAATCCTGCTTGTGTTCTTGAAGCTAAACTTTTTTTTTTCTAATTCCACACAATGTGTTGGCAGTTGCATTTTGCTCCCCTTACCCTTTTTTACCTTCCAAGTAAAAGGGAGAATGCCCATTCTTAGAATCACAGCTCTGTTCACACAGGTTTCCTAAATAATAAACAGACGTTACAAGCACTATGTAAATGGAAGTGCCGTTTGTGGCAAAAGTTGCCAGAAGGTGTTACCAGGTATGATACAGTTCTGTGGCTGACATTTGGTTAACCATTTAGGAAATATGGCAACAATTTATTTACATTTTTATAATGTTTTCATAAATAAGACCCTGATATGAAGTTAGTAATTAGACTTGTGAATGTTGTTTTATCATAAGGAAATATAGCTTAAATGAAGTAACTGCTTCCTCTGGGAGAAACTTGCTGGAAGGTGGCAGCTGCTCCAGTAGTGAAATTGTGAATCTACAGCATTTTGGGTTTTTTTCATATTTCTCTGTGTCAGAGTTCAATACTCGCAGACCAAGTTCTTTCAGATATTCCACATGAGGAGGAGCTGGATATAAAATTTACTTGTTTGGTGTATTTGGTGCTACATGGGATTTTGATTTAGTGGAGTGATGCAGCAACATACTGAAATCGCAACACAAGCATAATTTAGCAATTGCAATATACAGTTGAATCACAATACAAACGTGATTCTCATTACCCGTCTCTGTGTGCTCACCATCATGACATTGGGCATCCCCAGTCACGATGGAACATATGGGTTGAAGCCAGCTCAAGCCCAATGCTCTTTTCAAAGTTTATATGTTTTATCAGTTGTCCAGTTTTTATACTTTTATGTTGGGCTGAGCCACGTATTCACACCCCCCATGCTGGTCTGGCTAGCTCAGGAAGACATTATTCTTTGTTAATTGGCTTGGGAAACCTGATGATTCACAGGTGCAGCTGTCTTCTCTAAAACGAAGGTTACCATCCAGTCTCCCTGACATTGATGTAAATTGAGCTTTCTTGTACGATATATTCTTCCCCGAGATCATTGTTTTTTTCCCCTTGTCCTCTGAGCTGTCCTCCACTGGGTGTGGGTGTGTTGGGTGTGTGTGCTGGTCAGTCACACCCTGTCATTAAATTGGCATGGTATTTTGTTCTACCTGTTAAAATCAGGCCACCTCCATAGCTAACATTATTGCCTGCTGATGAAGATCACCTAGAAGGGAGAGAAAACCCCGTCAAAATCCTCTAAAGGACTGCAGGAACTAGCTGTACTGTGAATTTTTATGTGGCTCATGCAGTGATCAAGGAAGGAGAAAACACACTTTCAGTTTTATGGTTCTGAGCAAATTATGCTCACACACACCTGCGGCAGGGTGGCCGATACGTTCTTGCATGTATTTGTGACCCTCCCACAGAACTGAGAGGTAAGAAGGAAGTCAGATCTGCAATTTTCTGACTCTGATTTTCCTCTGTAGCACAACTTGGAGAATGGTGAGGGGCAATTGTCTTTCCTCTCTGAAGGACCTCAGCTATAGTTATTTTGCCTGTCCTCCCTTTTCTTCAACTCCTGGCCGGGAGGCTGAATGCTATAGCAAAACAATCCTGGCACTCAATTCTGTGTTTTGTTTTGAGCCAGCAGAAGCGCTACCACCAGAAAGTGGAGTCAGAAGGTTGGTAAGAAAGTAAAGTTGGCGAGTTGAAGTCCTGCAGGCTTAAGCTGAAAGCAGGCAAGATCAGAGTGAAGCTGTTTGCAAAGGGAAATGCTTAGAAGACTTGGGGAGGACTGTTAGCTGCAGAGGCGGAAATAATGTTATTCAGTGGCATGAATCCCTGCCCAGTCATTTGTATCTTGCTACCTATTCGTTCAGTTTAACATCAGTTTCCCAGAGAGCTGTTTACGCCCACCTTCCGTGGGAAGTTTGTCATTGTCTCCACCATAACGGTTTTAGAGTGACTTATTAATGTGCTGCTCTTGGGACGGGTTAGTGGTACGTGTGAGGAGCCTGCCCGTGTTCAGATTGCTGCCAGCTTCCCCCATTGCACGGGCTGCTGTAAGTATGTGTTTTCCCACCACCTATATAAAGGTTCACTCTTAGTTCTCAAAGTGGTGCAAAATTCAGGTACTGCGAAGTTTTGATTCGTTGAATTGTTGGCTACGTCTGTGATCTGTAAGATCTCCTGCAGGAAATCTTGAAGCCCAGGGAGAAGTGGAAACAAAATACACACCATTTAGGAGATTAAGCTATGCAGCAGGGAGTCCGGAGCTAGATTTTTCTCGAGAGATGTTGAGTGTTCAGCCCTTGCTGGTTACCCTTTTTATTCTGACCCCTAGCTAACATGGGCACATTCTCTCTGAAATTATTCAGATCTGCCTATTTTCAACTAGAGATGTGTCAAATTATGAACAGAGAATGGCATGTTTAAGCTGCAATGACTTCTGTGCAATGCGCTAAAAAATATAGTTGAGATCTTTGGGAATTCCCAGATACTAATTTCTGTGTGTCCTTTCTGTAGTTGTGCCTTTGCTTGTCACTGTATCTGTTCTGTTATTGACAGCCACAGGAATTCCCCAGGCCCTGAACATGGCTGGCTTTTGTGGGTGCCAACTGTAATACATTTCTAGCTAGGTGGAACATTATTCTGGACATGTCTTCCGAGCTTGGCCTAAGCCTTTTACATGAGTTTTATATTTGTGTAGCCACTTTGTGTCTAGGCCTGATTTGTCCAGGCATATCAGTGCAAAGAGAAGGATCATACCTCCTTCAGTCTGTTTACTAGGAAGAGCTTGTTTTAACATGACTTGAGGGCATGTTAGCTCATGGGCTGTTAAAAAGTGGCTTGCCATATTCAGATTACTTCCACCTTTAACCCAATTTGCCACACATGCAGTAATCAAATATCTTGTGTAAAGTTGTGAACATTGATAAGCCACTGCTATGATAACAGTGTAAAGATTTCTGCTTAATATGTTGTCAAACTGTTTTTTCCTGTGTTTTTTGGGGGGAAGGGACTTAAGGGGTTTTAAGTCACTGCTTAGCGAGAACACTGTTTCTTTATTTGGAGAGTACGGATGTTCTGAGGGTGGCTCTTCTGCTCAAGGTGAGCACTAAGGTGTTAATGTTCGTTTTCAGAAGGATGAAATGCCAACTGGTAAAATCTCCTCCCTCCTCCCTCCCTTTGTTGTGAAATACCATCTATTGAGAGTGCTGCACCAGAAGGTGTATCAGAGGTGGTGCACCATCCCAGGGTCTTACGCCATCGTGCAGTGCTCCTGTGAGCCTGCTCCTTTTGCTAGAAGGGTCTTCAGTAAATCTGGGAGGGGTGGGAAGGGAGCTGGTTCCTTGGCCGGTGGCTGTTAGGGTACAGGGCCGAACACCTGCACTGTGTGCTGCGTTGCCTGCCAGCAGCCCCAAAAGGCTCGTGAGGAGGAAGTCGAGTCAGTGGCATTATGAGCTGCTTTCTTCTTGTGTTAAAATGGCAATGAATTGTGAGTGCCTTTAAACTAGAGAGAGACGATTGCGGGAAAAGCCCAGGCCGAGGGAGACCTTTAGGCTTGCACTAGTAGGTTCCGTTTTCTCAAGAACAGTCAGTGGTTCATAACTGCCAACGGGGGGGGCCTAAAATGCGTCTGAGAGAAGTCCTCTCTGGCAGACGCGCAGTTTTTAAGTTAAGTTGTGGGTTTTTTCGGTTGAAGTTAGAAATCCAGCAGGAACTACAGCTCCCAGGGGCCCAGGCGCCGCCTCC